ATTCTGAGGCTCCGTCTAACATACTTTGGACATGTTGTGAGGAGAGACCGGTCCTTGGAGAGGGACATCATGTTTGGGAGGGTGGAGGGACAGCGCAGGAGAGGAAGGCCCCTCTATGAGATGGATTGATTGAGTGATTGGGATGGGAGTGTCGGAGACAGTGCGATTGGCACAGGACAGAGCGGAGTTTAGGCCTGTTGTACATAGGGTCGCTATGAGTCGCAGGCGACTCGACAGCACATAACAACAACAACAACAACAACAAGATGGTTATCAGAAAAATAGAAAACCATCTGTTAGCAGGGATGTGGAAAAATTTGGACCCAAATCCATTGTTGGAAAAATTGTATAACCATTATGTAAGAAATTACGATAGCTCCTCAGAAAGATAAACATAGAGGCATCATGTGAGACATGGTGCCTCATAGGTGTTAACCAAAAAGAATTGAAAGCAGAAACAAAACCAGAAATGAGATTCTGATACATGCTGTCACATGAATGAACCTTGAAAACATTTCATTAAGTAAAGCCAAAGGGGAAAAAACCAAAAAATGTATATGTTCTCATCTATCAAACATACAGAACAGTCAAACGCATAAAGGGTAAAGTTTATCTAGGAGTAGGGGAGTGGTCTGGTAGGAGTACTAACGTCTGTATGGAGTACTAAGTCTGTAAAAGATGCTGGGGGGAAAATCAATGGTGATATTTACTCAACATGAGGAATACAAATAATGCTACTGAATTGTACTATATAAACAGTTGATATGGCAGTTTAGTTCTGTATTTCATGACAGCTAAAAATTTTAAAAAGTCCCTAGGGAACTTTAAAAAAAAATACTAGTTTATTTACAAAATTCAAATACATTTTTTTCAGAACGGATTATTCCAATTTCCCTCACCCCTCGACCCATCAAACTGTACAACTCCATGATTAATTACCCCTCCCCCTGCTTTTGATTGATGAAAATGTTGAATTTTTACTGTAGTGGTCGTTAGATAACTGCATTTGTCAAAACTCATCACACTGTACACTTAAAATTAGTAACTTATTGTATGCAAATTATACATACAAGTTGATAATAGTTTCCTCTGGTCAGTATAACAAATTACCACAGATGATGACTTTTTTAGAAAAATTTATTCTGTCACAGTTCTAAAGGCTAGAAGTTTTCAATTCAGCAATGCCACATTCTCACTTAAGACTCTAGAAAAGAGTACATTCTTTGCACCTGCTACCATGAGTCAGAACCAGCTATCAGCAACTTCTGTTAGTTGTTGGCATTCATTGGTTGTGACTGCACTTCTCTGTGCTCTACCTTCACGTTCCATTCTCTGTGTGTCTGTCTCTGTATGTCTTTGTCTCTCTCCTATAAGTACACTTGTCATTGGATTTAGGACCCACTCAATTATTCTAACATCATGAAATATTTGTTCAACATAAAGATTGATGAGGTATAGAGAAAGACTACAACCCTGACATACACTCTTCCTGATTGTAAATCATGCAGTGTTTCCTTGCTCCATGGGCACAGCTGTTTCTTGATTGAGGTCTAGATTTCATATGAGCATAATTAAATGTTCTGGGATTGCCATTCTTCTCAATATCAGCCATAGTTTTTTGAGACCCACACAGTCAGTATGAAGAAGAGTGTGGCATAAAGATCAAAGGAAGACATAACATTGCTTACTGTAGGTGAAGAGGACTTAGAACACTTCCTGCAGAAGATCAAAGACTACAGTCTTTGATACAGTTTATATCTCAATATTAAGAAAGCAGTGTTCCTTACCACAGGACCAATAGGCAGCAGCATAATATATGGAGATGGGATTGAAACTGTTAATGATTTCCTTTTACTAGGATCCACAATCAATACCCTTGTGCCAACAGTCAGGAGATCGGAAGATTCACTGCTATGGGCAAATCCACTGTCAGGGACCCCTCCAAAATACTGAAAACCAGTAATGTTAATTTGAAGACTAAGGTGCACCTAATTCAGGCCAAGGTCTTTTTAATTACTTGCTGTGCATCTGAAAACTGGGCAATGATTTAGAAGAATTGTGGTGTTGAGTAGCCCATGAATTGGGTGGCGGTGGGTAAGAACAGATATGCCCTGGGAAAAGTGCAGCCAGAGTGCTCCTTGAAGACAAGAATAGAGAAGCTTTTGTGTCACATATTTTGGGCATGTTGCTGGGAATGTCCCATTTTTTTGGAAAGCAGTATCATGCTTGGGAACGTGGAAGGTCAGCAAAAGAAAGGAAGACTCCCAAGGATATGCGTGTTAACTGCAGCACTGGGTTGAAGTAGATTAGAGATGATGAGGATGGTAGAGAATAGGACAAGATTTAGGTCTCTTGTTCATAGGATTACTGTGAGTCTTACTTGACAGGACCTAACAACAGCATGTATTCCAGAATTATTTCCTCATCTCAGTTTTATCTGTTCTCAAACTCAATGATGTCAATTTGGAAGCAACTCTAATTGAAATACAGAAACCATTGGGTTTCATAGCTGTAAATTGTGCCATAGGAGATTTCCCAGCTCTGTCATGTAGAGCTGCTGGTAGATTCCAGCCACCAGACAGCCACAGCCTTTGGATTAGCAGAACAACTCCCTATGGCCTGTGCCACCAGAGCTCCCTGTTAAATTTACAAAGACCTCTTTTTTCCAGATCAGGTCACAGACAGGTTCCAGGGGTTAAGATTTGCACATTTCTTTTATGGACCTACAGTTTAGCCCACTACATTAACCATCATAATTTCTTAGTACTCTAGGGGGAAAAAATGTGTACTCATTATTTTGTTAATATTCCTTTCTTAAAATTTTATCTTGGTTTATATATCAAATTCATATACATTATGTTTCGTTTGTGTATATTGTATTTTACACATTTAACTTAATTCACATTGTTTTATATGATCATTCTCATACATTGTTTTAGAAAATTAATCACCACTGATCCATGTTTACTATTACCCATCTTTTCAGGTACCCACCTGATCTTTCCTAAATTCTTCACCCCCTACCTCTATCCACTAAACTATATGACCTTGTGATTTACTCCCTTCCCCAACCTCAGTTCCCCTGCCTCCTCCCCTTCTCCCTTTGGAGTTTTATCCCCATCTTATTAGTTTTCCTTCTGTTTTTACAGTCAATAATGGTATTCTTTTGGGGGGGGAATAACACTTGGAAAGATTTTTATAATGACCAGATTTTCAGAAGACAAATTAATTCAGCATGAGTGTAAATATACATGAGTGTATATAGACCGTTTTAGATATTAAGTGATTTTCCCCATTTTTTTTCTTTTAATAAAAATATTTAATGCTGCCAAAAGGTATAAAAATACAGTAGGAATGGCAGTAGAATACAAAGTAGTTTCCTTTCACTTCTTTCTTTTACATCTTTCTTCATTTCATACACACATGTAAAAACAAACCAAATTAGATTAGCAAAGTCTTCTGCTGGTGGGTGTTCTTCATTCCCTGGATATAAAGTTTACTTTGTAAACAGACAGTTGTAAGGCAATCTAAAGATCTATCAGCCTCACTTTAGTTTCCACAGTGGCCGTCATGTCTTGCTTGCACATCAATGGTTCAAAATTTATAGATGGAGTATATTCTTATGAATGCAGTATATTCTTATGTCATGAACACTTAGGTGTCTGTCAATCTTGGCCTTTTTCTTTTTCGTTCAGTCTCATTTAGCCTCTGTCTCATCTGTTGAACCTTCTGAGCTGTGTTAGCTTTTCTCTCTTCTCGGATACGTTTCTGGAGAATACTCTCACTCTTTTCCTCTACTGTATCCTGCATTTTAGAGGGCAATCCTGTACACCGGTCACTCACAAATTTTCCTTCTTCTAAGCCTAATTTGTTCCCATTGTATTTTTCAGTCATTATTTTGATTGATGAATGATCAAAAGCAGGAGATAAATCTTCTTTAGAAAGTTCTCTCCATTGTTTCTGTATATTTGAATCTCCCTTTATATACTTGGCTCCTTCTATTATAGCCATATATGAGAATCTCAGTTGATCTGGTGTCTGAATAAGTCCCATCCGATACTTTCTCATATTCAGTAACACTTGTTTAATGTTAATATCATTTCCTTTTTCCATCAAAATAAGACAGGTGTCTACTAAGGAAAAAGTGCCAGATCACCCAATAACAGCACTGCAATGGACTACCACGGGCCCATGCTCAGGGTTCAAGGAGCCAGATTCTCGCACTTTAAATAGGAAATTGAGAAATGAAGCTGATGATTCAGGAACTCCAAAATCTGGCCAGGTGGTATAATGAAAGTGAGATATTGTTCTGATTTCACCACTATGGTTATTTTCTAATTGTAACACATGTACTGTGTAGTATGATTTCACATCTTCTGATAAGAACTTCACACTGAATCCTGTTTCTTTAAACAGCATCTCTTGGTCATCTTTTGTTGGCCAGTACTGTGTACATTTAACTGATTCTTTCTCCACGACTCGGTTTAACATGACAACTGCTTTGGTCTTTTGCTGCCAAGCCATGAGCCAGAAATGACAACACGTATTAGGAAGTGGACCCTTAGGAACATTAAGTTTACTTTTTTAGTGGGGAAGGGCGGGAATGGTTGACAGCCTGAAGAATGTTCTCAAGGTCACTGTGTTAAGATGTAACTCCTCTGAGCCTCTTCTATGTCCACTAAACTGGCATTAATATAATCATTTTCAGTATTCTGTAGCTTAACCCGACTATGATCATATGGGCTCACATCTCTGTATCTGTTTCGATTTCTGTTTTCTGGAAACTTGGCCACTCTATGAGGATAGTCATGGGACTCATTTCGAATTTCCACTAGGTCACCAAAGCCCCCTTGAGCCTCGGCAAGACATGAAGACCGTGCTGCGTCCTCGGAGACGGACCCTGGGGCCCCAGCGATTTTCCCCATTTTTGTACAGCTTTTCTCTCATGCTGAATGATGATGGTATTCTTATTATCTTATTATTCTTTTTGTTCTCTGCAGTTGGTTCTGAGAAAAGAGTACCAGCAATGCCTGGATCACCTGTGGAAGTGAAGATACAGTCAAGATCCTCACCTCCCACCATGCCACCTCTCCCACCCATAAATCCTGGAGGACCGAGGCCAGTGTCATTTACTCCAACAGCATGTGAGACCCCTTACTTACTTTGGTTAGTGGTTCAGAGTGACAATGAATCTCAGTGACATGCATACTATATAGTACTTTCAGAATGCTGTTTAAATATATATATATATATATATATATAGTGTTTCTTTTATAAATTACCTTTTCTCGCTCAGGATTGTACTTACCTAACGTAGGTGTTTGGGAATTTAATAGTTTAAAATACTTTTCATCCTGTTCATCTGATAAGTAGCAATTTTCATCTCTAGCTCTAAAGTAATAAATTTTTATTTGTAAGATTCAAAGTATACCTCTTAAAATTATAGAGCCACTACTAAAAATACTCGCACACTTTTATGGTAGGACTATATAAAAGAGAATATTTTATTAGCCAATAAATACATGACAAGACTTTCAGTCTCATTAGTTATCAAGGAAATACAGACCCAATGCAATACTATAATAAACCCACTAGAACATTGAGAATGAAAACAGTATCAGGTTTGATTGAGGGTTTGTGGAGTACCTTTAATGCATACATTGGTAATTTGCATTGTAATTTGGTGGAACTACATTTATCCCTAACTCAGGAATATCAGCCCTCCAAGTAGAATTAAAAGTAATATTATGTGCCATCTTGTTGGAACCAACTCACAGCTGACCCTCCAATGGATTTTCAGAGGCAGTAGATAATAGAAGAGGAGATTGCCCATTTTTCACCCACAGAACTGCTGGTGGATTCTAAGTGAATGCCTTTAGGTTGGCAGTGAAACATTGTATCACTAGGCCACCGATGGTGTTGGGTTTTGTGGGGTTTTTTGTTTGTTGGGGTTTTTGGGAGGGGGTTTTGGTATCTATATAAAATTATCAATTCTGTCTTTGTCCATGATGCCTTGTAGGTGTATACATGTGTAAGTGTAAGTATGCATACTCCTCTTCCCCCAGTCATGTTACTCTTTTCTTGATGTTTTGCATCATAAAACAGAAAAGACAGTTACTGTTTGTGGAATGCTCACAGAGTAGTTAGAGCAGTTCTCAGTGATGTATATATTTTGTTATTTAGGTATCTCTGTTTTCCTGGTCAGATCATTGGTGGTAGGGAGTTCTATCTCTTGTCTGTACAACTTCACATTACATGCACTTTTCTTTGTACCATACCATCCTTGCACAAAAGTTTATCATTTTAGAAGGAAGAAGAGATTCTAAAAGTACAACCTAAAGAGAAAGTTTAATTATTATTTTCCCAAGACTTTTAAAATTGAGTAACTGGCAACTGCAGCCTTCAGTTTGAGCCAAATTGAATGAAATGAAGATAATATCCTTGTTCTTAAAATCCATTTTCCATTCAATGTTAAACAGCCTTAGGCATAAGGTAATGTTATGAAATAAAACAGATTGCGTCTAAGCTAGGCTGTCATTCTGATTTCAAGGTACAAAAAGTAAGTGTTGGTGTATATAAATCTTGTCCTTTCTTACCTTCATAGCTGGTCATTGGGATTTGATATGTTTTATTTTGAAATGCGTGATCATGTGCTGAAAGCACCATAATACATTATTTTTATGGATTGCTTTAAAAGAAGACAGTTTTCCAATGGTAATCGACCTTTTCTGTGTAAACAAAGAAATGGCAGGGCATTTACACAATTATTTTTTTTTTAGATTGTGGAGACTGCATACTGAGCTTCTATTTATAGTAGCCTTATAATCTTTAAATGGAAGACAAGAAGAGAATCCAACATTTTTCCCAAGCTTTACTCTTTCACACAGTGAATCATTCAGCAAAATAATTTTTTAAACATTTTTCTAGGTAATAAGTAAAACTCACCTAGATATTTACAATACTGTTTGGTAAGTAATGCAAAGTAGATTATAGTAAGATGTGCAAATATAGAAGAAATAAAAATAATGAAAATGTGTTTGAAGGTCCATAGGCAGCAGAGTTTACATCTCTATGTGGAGAAGGTAGACTTTATGAAAAGGCTGCATCAGAATTGAAGGAAACTTCCCTTGTATTGGATCACTGCTTTGAAGATATGTGTCACATTCCACCCTTAATCTTCTTAGAGTTGATTGACTTTTCAGATAATAAAGGATCATTGCATTACTGTCACATCTCGTCATTACCTAACTGCCAAAGCACTAAGAACCCTGACCCAGCCACGCTGACACTAATATGTCCATTTCAATCTCTATATTAAGCACATAATCCATGAAGCTTAATTAGATGAAGAGCAATGAAGCATCAGAATTAGAGGAAGACTTAGTAACCACCTGTGATATGCAGGTGATACAAACTCACTTGCGAAAAGCAAAGAATACTTGTAGCACTTACTCATAAAAAGCAAAGCCTGCCAGACAAGAAAAATCTTCATAATTAGACTAGTAAATAACATCTTGATAAACTGAGGAAGAATTGAAATTATGTTAACATAAATTATGAAGGATTTCATTTTACTTGGATTTACAATCATTACCCATGAAAATAGCAGTCAAGAAATCAAATGCTGTATTATATTGGGCAAATACATTGCCAAAAGCTTATTAAAAGTGCTAAAAAAAGTAAAGATGTCACTAACAACCTAAATGAACCTAACCTAAGCCATACTGTTTTTGTTCACATCATATGCATGCAAATTCTGGACATTGAATAAGGAAGACCAAAAAGATTTGATACCTTTGAAATTTGGTGTTGGTGAAGGATATAAGCTGCCAGGAGAACACACAAATCTGTCTATCAAAGGAAGTCTTCTTTAAAACTTGTCACTGCAGCTTATTGCTCCTGGGGTTAGATATCTCTCTATATATTTCTATGACACTGTTCTGTTACTTTTACATAATTTTTTGCCAGACAGCCTGATTTGCCATATAGTAGTCTCATTAAGGACAGAAACCAAATCTTACTTAATCTATTGTGTTTTCATTCATCTTTCAAAACATTTTTTTATCTTTCAAAAAGTCACTGCACTGCAAATCCAAAGACAGGTGGTTCAAGTCCAGCAGATACTCTGCAGGAGAAAGGTGGGGCAACCTTCCCGTGTGATTTACAATCTCTGAAGACCTCTGGAAATTCAGCTCTGAGTTGGTTCCAACTCAGCCGCAGTGTGTGAATGAGAATCTTTAACAAGTTTGTTACAAAATTTAGTGAATAAGCTAAAGAGCAAACTAGAAATTGCAAAGATCTCTTTGTTAAATACACTGCACTTAAAAAGAATCTTTTTCCCCCCTTTAGTAAGCAATGGAATCAACCATTCTCCTCCTACCCTGAATGGTGCCCCATCACCACCACAAAGGTTCAGCAATGGTCCTGCTTCTTCCACATCATCTGCGCTAACAAATCAGCAATTGCCAGCCACTTGTGGTGCTCGGCAGCTCAGCAAATTGAAGCGCTTTCTGACCACTCTCCAACAGTTTGGCAATGACATCTCACCTGAGATTGGGGAAAAAGTGCGGACTCTTGTTCTGGCGCTAGTGGTAAGTACTGCAGTACTGCCTAAATGTGAAACGCAGACTAAAACCTGTAAAGTAATTGTAGCTCTGTTTGCTCATTATTCAATAATATAGTAATGGAGCAAATTCTACACACACGATACTGTTTAAAAACTATTGGATTGTGGATTTCATGGTAGCAGTGTTTGTCGTAAGAAAAGTAAAATCTTTAATGTTTACTATATTGTTTTATATTATTGATTTCAATTCCAATAAACATGTTTAATTTGACTTAAAGCTTGGTTTCCAAAAGCTCACTGTTCATCTATGCCAAGGTCTTTGTTTTATATATTCAGTGCCTGTTATATTGTTTCTAAACTAAAAAATAGAGAAGTAGTAATTTTAATTTCCAGAATAATAAGTTGTGAAATTGTAAGTTTTGTGCTCTAAAGAAATACATTCATTTCTCATTTAGCTACATGAGCCTGCTCCAGAAAAACAAGTCATTCTCTATTAATTAGCATTGTATGAAAATAAGCATCACCACATGGATCACAAAATGGAGGTGACTTCATCGTTACATAGCTGCCAAACTGCTGAGAATCATTTCCAAGCCAAGTTGATAAATAAATTTATCCATCACAGTCAGCATTGTTTTTGCCTTGCCCTCCTGCAGTGTATGTATATATATACTTGCTGTCACTGTTGTATATATTGAATATGCAAAATAGATGTATATTTTAGATTGTATATATTTTACTATTATCATAAATTTGAAATATAGTGAGTAAGGAATAGTTGTAGTGTCAGAGATCTTCTCAGCTCCTCTTGCAAATAGTTTCTTTAGAATTTCCAAGATGGACAATTGGGTGAGGTGATGAGGAACTGTCATTTCCCGGTGTTTGTAAAGGACCTCTAATAAACATAATCTAGTGTCCAAGTGTCATCCAAAGATTTCTCACATTCCCCTACACTCTTGCAGACAGTCTTTGAGATCAAAACTATTTATATATATTATATAAAATATTATCTATATTAAATATATATATATATTAAAAAAACCATCAAATCGGATCTGACTGGTACAGGAGAGTGCCCCTCCTTCTCCAACAGAGCATCTGGTGGATTCAGACCTCTTACTTCTGGGATTGTAGTGCAGCTTCTTGCCACTAGGCCACCAGAGATCAAAACTATTTTTATGAACTATTTATGATACTGTCTTTTCACTCACAAGTGTGGGACAAAGAACTAAGCTTGGCCTTTTTGTATCTGGTGTCTGAAAATATCCACAGTAATTACAGTGTTCTTTTGTTTCTGAAATAGACAGGCAAGTAGGAATGACAAAGGCCCCACAACTGGCTAACTTCAGGAAAGGTTCATGAGGAAATCATGCATATTCATTGATTGGATTTATCATAACTCTACATTAAGGCCCCAGGCATATGTATTCATTGACATCCCAGTGACTGGTGGAGCTCCATCTTTGTGCCTTGCAAGTGAAGCCTTGATCTGCCTCCAGCTGGGAATTGGATTCATGTTGATACTTGCTGTGTAGTTAGTTAGTACTACCCATAGTACTATTAATTAGTTAGTTAGTTAGTTAGTTGCCTAACATAACCTTTTCTTTATAAAGAATTAAAATGAAAGCCTGAAGATCCTCCATACAAGAAAAAAAAAAAAAAGATACTCCATATAGAAGAATCTTCCAGAGGCTATATGATCTTGGTACCAAAAGAGATGAAATGTGGAAACCAACCAGGGACCCTAGTTGTAGATGTTTGAGGAAATTTGTGACATTTTAAAATAGAGCCACTCTCATTACTACATTTTTTTTCTTTTTCTTTTTTTGGGGGGAAGGGGTGTTTGGGTTTTTTTCTTGTATACCGTCAAGTAAGATTCAACTGGCACAGGAGATTGACCCTCCTTCTACAGCGGAGTATCTGTTGGATTTGAACTGAGAACCTTTCGGATTGCAGTGCAGCTTCTTGCAGCTAGGCCACCAGAGTTCCCTACTACATATTTTCTTATGAAAAACACAGACTATGTAGTAGGTTAGTTTGAAGTGGATTACTAATATCTTTTTTAAATCTCTCAGTTTTAATTTCTCATTTGTTGAGTATTAATAGATAAAAACTGTATAAAGTAGAACAAACCATTTAAGAGCTGTTATCTTAAAAGATTTCTCAGTCTACTATGGAAAAGAAACTAGCAATGAATGACTATCATTAAATATTTGAGTTATTCATTTTCCTTCTGTATAGTGTCTTCTTATGCAAATATAGCACAATTTCTTTTTTTCTCTTAATCGACATTTACATTTTCTCCATTTGAGAAGGAGTATTAGGTGTTCACACTACCATCCCATGTTCAGAGATTTACTAGAAACATTCAGAGGACTTGAATTCAAAGGCTATGGAGCCAGGTCATAAAGTCAAAACACACAGCAAAGAGTTTTGAGTAATCCATGTGTGATCTTCCCTGTGGCCTCTCCCTCCCATCAGTGATCATATAGTAGATACATGCACACTCTTCCACAGGCAGTGAAAACAAAGTAGCTCAAGCTCATGTTTACTGCAGCACTATTTATAATTGCTAAGAGTTAGAAACAACCCAAGTGCCCATCAGTGGGAGAAGAGCTAAAAAAACAGTGGTACACAGTGACCTAGTGGTAAAAAGCTTCACTGCAGTCCCAAAGACACATAGTTTGCTACTCAGGATAAGGATGGGCATCCTCTTCCCACTTGATTAATTGCCTCTGAAAACCCACTGGAGAGTCAGCTATGGGTCAGTTCCAACTCTGATACTCAAAAATACCAATAAACAATCAAGAATTTATTATTTACTGTACAGCATGGATGAAACTAAAACACATTGTGCTAAGTGGCATAAATTAATCATAAAAGAATAATTAATGGTACCTCATTGCTGTTCAGTCGGAACCAAATCATAGCTGCCACCATAAACCACACAGACAGTAAATCTCTCCGAAGATTGCCCCTCTTTTTTTCTCGTGGAGCTTCTGGTGGATTTAAACCAATAAGGGAGGCACCAGTTTGGGGATTAGCAGAGAAACTCCCTACAGACTACTCTACCAGAGCTCCCTCATTATGGTATAAGACTGCTAATACAAAAAGCTGAGAAATGCTCCTGAACTCTCGCTTCCCACATGACAAAGAAAAGGAGAAACAACAGTCGTGCCAAAATGGGCTGCGGCCACGTGCAGCCTACTCGCTGCACGAATGGCACCCGTGCGTGCCCAAAGACAAGGCAATTAAGAAGTTCATAATCCGAAACACAGTAGAGGCAGCTGCTGTCAAGGACATTTCCAAAGCGAGTGTTTTCGACGCCTATGTGTTTCCAAAGCTCTCTGTGAAACTACACTACTGTGTGAGTTGTGCCATTCACAGCAAGGTGGTGAGGAACCGTTCTCGTGAAGCCCGAAAGGACCGGACACCTCCACCTAGATTTAGACCTGCAGGTGCTGCCCCACGACCACCACCAAAGCCCATATAAGGATTTGATTCCTTAAAAGGCTGAAGAAAAAACTCGTCTGAAAATAAAATGGAAATTACACTTTATTATTGAGATGTGTCTGTCGTGTTGGGTGGTATTTTTAGGGCCACAATTAGATTGTACATGACCTAAAAAGTGTATTTGGGGGGGGAAAGCTAAGAAATTATTTACACACAGAGAGAATTTGTTTTTTAAGGCTAACAGATGAGAAGCAAGGAGAAAATGAAAAAAATTCATAAAATAAATTTGTTGCAAAGTATATAAAGAAGATGATAGGCACCATCTATATATACAGAGAGAAAGAGAGAGAGAGAGAGTGCTGGATAGGAAGTTCTAGCATACCCCCAGTGGTTGCTTATGAACCTCTGTTACTATGCACAAAAATAGGATGTAGAACATTGTCTTTTTGGGCTATTAGGCTTATTTTGACCTTTATGACCCTCAATACTATGATCCTTCCTGTGGACATTCTATTTCATGGCTTTTAGCACTTGCGTATATTCTACTCAGCTGTGCAATTGTGCTTGCATGAGATATGCTTATTATGTTCAATTTTATAATACATAGTTTTCCTGCTTTGCACTAGCTTTATCATGTTGTTGTTGTTGTTGTTATGTGCCGTCGAGTCGTTTCCGACTCATAGCGACCCT